AAAAACAATGATAAACACGTTTGTTTCAAATGTATTTTTATTTTGATAAGGAACACAGTTTCAATATTTAAAAAAGAAATACAACTTTTCTAACAGTTTAACTTTATTGCACTTAAGGCAATTTGTTTTACTTTTATTTTACTCTTTTCACAAATGTCAGTGGTCGGCAACCCGAGGCTCTGGAGCTACCTGTGACTCTTAGAAAGAATAGATGCAACTCTGTATTTGAATACTCTTTTTAAGACATTCATCTCCAAAAATATTTTTTTATTAGATATAAAAAAAAATCATATAATTTTTATAAATTATATGATTTTTTTTGGGGCTCTTCATGCTGTAACCTATATAATCAAAACAAATTTCCATTTTTTTTTTAAAACCAATTAAATAATTTTAATCCCAGAAGAGATGTTATGATGTTTTTTATTTCAGTTTCAGAAATGGCAGTTGCCTCGGGTGTCCAGTAGAGACAAGTTTCTGCACACGGTTTTCCTCCTCACCCTGGTCCTTATGGTATCCTGTGCTGTCGCAACCGTCCTCTGCTTCCTCTCAGACAATGGTCAAGTTGCGGAAACCAAGTCACAGCTGACGACCGAAGAAGTGATCACCCTCACATGCGGGGTGCTGTTTTTCATCTCTTTTTTCGCAGCGATGACTGTTGAAATTAAAGCCAGACACACAGTCTATAGACTTTTTAGGAAATTTATAACACGTAACACGGAGTGGAAAATTGAACCCTATGACAAAGCTAAGGACATTCTTAACAAATACCCTATTTAAAGAAAAGATGTGTTGTAATTGTGCCAAGTAGGTAACTTTGAGAAATTCATTTCTGACTAATCAGGTTGGTTATTTGTCAGTGGTTTCTTTTATACAGTGATTTTGTTTGTAAAAATCACCTAGTCTAAATAATTAGTTATTGATGCTTAGCTAACACAATAGGGTATTATTTAATGTTTCTTTCATACTTGGGGGAAAAAAAAATTCATCAGCGACTGAGTGTTACCTGACTTGTCTTGGTGTGCCACTGGCGATACCTTCGTGCTAAAAGGTACTTAAAGTAGCAGTCATAAAATTTCAAAGAACATTTTTTATTGAAGCTCAGTCATTTAAGAGATGAGCAATAACTTAAATTTGGTGACATATAATTAGTGCTTTGAGGTCGTTTAAAGTGAGCTCATTTGTAAAGAACTTTCATCCAGAAGAAAAAAGTAGTAGATTTCTCTCTGGCATCATTTGTCAGTAATTTTATGAGAAAGATCCAGAACTTTTACTTTTATAACTATAATGTAGTGCATAACCCACCATCTGAAGGTTACACTTGATGAGAGATATCAGATAAACCTTCGAAAGAAACAACTTTGGTCTCTTAAAAATTCATAATGCTCTTCGAGTTATTTAATTTTGATTGTTTTAACAGTTATGATCTTCACCGTGATATAGATGAAATACTTCTTATTTTGTTCTCCTATCAGTAATAAGCAATTCATTGTTGTACTATTATTCTAGTCTACATGTCCTGTTTGTGACATAGATTGGTATAGTATTGTTTTTTTGTAATTCATTTTGTGTAAATAGTGTTGCTCTATAAAAAGTAACTGTAACAAACAAAAACAACATAAACAAAGACAAGCTTGTAATTGTAATTAATTAAAAAAGGATATGAAAGGTAGACAAACTAAAATTAACATTGTTTGGATTTGTTGTATAAAAGTGTTGTTTTTTTACCTTATATTGGCTTTTAGTTCAAAGTAAAGCTTTGAGTCTCAGTGAAATGGAAAAAAGCTACTACTTAAATTATAAAATTCTAACACTAATGTTAATCTTGAAGACTTGAGTTTTAAATCAACCAGTACCCATTAGTTCTATTAAGTTTTATTGACAGCAAGCTGAAACCATTCATTTTGTTTTGTTGAGTAAGTATTATATCTGTGTTTATCAACTGATAACACTCTGTGATGCAAGCTATTATATTTTAATACTTCACTATCTCACAACTGGTTTATCAATTTTTAATTTTTGTCCTTATAAAAAAAACTATGGCGCATGAAGATTTAATTTTTTCCAACAATACTTCAAATGCAATACCCCTAAACCTATGTGGTTCTCAACCTATCGTCTGCTGACCACTTGCAGTCCATGATTAGAAGTTGATCTCTGGCTGCCAATCAATTTAGCATCAAGTGCTTTGACTTCGCTTTAATTCTTCTTAAACAGTAAACAACCAATATGAATTGAATAAAGTCTCATTTATTTTTAATTTTTAATTACTTCACGAATCCCTGATCAACTTGTGGGATTGAATAAAACCATGTTTTATTATCTTGTGGTCTGCAATTTTTCACAGCTAGTAAAGTGGTCCTTATATGAAAAGATGTTGGGAACCTCTCCTCCACTTTTGATATTGTAGGATGTGCATTATTTTTAAAAATATTTAAAACTTGTTTGAACTTAAACTTATATAAGAAGATATTTAGAAATTGTAGTAGATAAATATTAAAGCCTGGCTATTGAGGTCTATATGAAACCTTACTTTTGTTGCTAATAGAAATAGAAGTGTCCTCTACAGGTGATAGGGGACCAGTGAAAAGTATGTTAACCGAAGTTCTTATCTCCTTCATATAATTGTAAGCTAGGATATTGGAATATGTTCAGTATTAAAATCAAAATATAGAACTAATGAATTAATGTAATTCATAAAATGCAACATTTTTATATAATTGCATTGTTTGTTCAATATTTGTTTAAACATTATGACACTTTTACTTGTATATTTTGTAGTATAGTCTTTTGTGTTGAGAAGGGCCAGTATTTCCTGGAAATAAAAAATATTTACATTTTCAATTGAGAATTCTTACCTTAGACTGCATCTTCACTGTCTGAAGGTTTTAAGACTATGAAGGATTTAGGACCTGCACTTGTAGTAAGATAATTAATATTAATTAACCTTCACATTAAATGAAATAATGAAGCCTCTGATGAGCAGTTATAATTAAAATATAGATGTTTAAATGATAAAGTTTTCTTGTTCTAGGCTATATTGATAAAAAAAAAAAGATCTTTTTATTACAAGTAACTATTTGTTTTTAGTATCTAATGATTATTTGATTCAAGTAAGAGCATTTATTGAAAAAACCTTAGTTCCATGAGATAAATGATTGGCTAGAAGAAGCAAGGGTCAATTTTAAGTTAAAACTTTAAGCAACTGCATATGGTACCCTAGTCTTTCAAACTTTTTATTTTACCCTTGTATCTAAAGGCAACTTAATTTTTTTTCTTTCAAATACCTAGCAAGCCAGTAAGGCAAATATCCCCCCCCCCCTTTTTTTTTCCCCCAAATCTTTTAGTGAAATGAATGATGAATGTACAGAGTTGTATATACATAAATTTTATCAATATTAAAAAAATCAACTTTTGATTTACCATACTCTCATTCATGGAGAAGTATTTAAATAAGTACAATGAAATGTAAATATTTGAATTTTTGTTCCTTATTATAACATAATCTAAGGAATTATTTTTTTATGATTTTTGCAATATATTACTTATATACCATTTGTATGTTCCTAATAGTATTAAAGACTATTGACACATTAAGGGTGTTAATTAGTTTTGATGTTTACTCTTTGTTGTTTCTTTAAATTTAAACAGTATTACATTTATTATCAGCTGACTGATTTGAGATACAGGTATGCAGATATGCATGAATGCCCCATTCATTAAGTTTTCTGAGGATGAAAATATGTGATGTAACATTATGATTTAGAATTTTTTTTTTTACAGTATCTTATTGTTTCAAATTAATTTGAAGCTGCTTCATGCCATAAAAAAGTAGGCATAAAATCAGGGCTGCCAATTATCTGGTAAGATATCTGTTTAAGACTCATGAAAGACAAGTGGTATCGATTGTGTGAATATTGGTATGTAGTGTAGAAGCACTTAGGTACCAACATTAAAATTAAAGCACTGAGATGTTAAAAAAAACTGAGGTGCCGGAATAAGAAAAGAAGATATTTATCAATGAACAATTGTAAAATGGTGGTAAGGAAACAGATCATTGCAATTCTAGAAAGTGGCTGGATCTGTAATGGTATGTGCTTATTTATGCTGTTCATTTGCACTAGTGGAAACGCATTTAAGCCGTTTGATATGCCTACTTATGTGAGATAAGTTGTGAAAGGGATCGTTATGGGACAGAAAAATCAGGAGATAATAATTGTCATAACCTAAAATTTCATGCATTAATTAGTTTTGCTCTAACATTTTTAAATATAGCCATGGAGAATGATTTGGTCACACACCTGTTCTATCTTCCAAGTCCAGAAAAACCATCAGTGGATTATTACATCTATCTTATTCTTAATGATTTATCACAGAATACTCATCTTAAAAACTAATTACAAATGTTATTAAGTTACTATTGGTAGTATGTATTGACTTTGACCTTTGTTTACTTCTATTATTTGTCTGATTTCAGAATTAATTTTTTTTAGCTATAAATAAATTATTTTATTAACTCAAGCTGTAGGAGAATAATACACACTAATAGGGTAGATGTGAATATTGGCTCTGCCCTCTGTGAAAATTTTAGATCACCAGTTCTAACAGAAAAGGAAAATGGAATAATTCAACAACTTATTTAGATTTAAAAATTAGCTTTTTATCATAAAACTTTATTACTACCCTTGTGTTTTGTTCATTCAAGGAAAGATGTTTTATTTTTATATTTTTCAAGTTCATTGATGACAAACAACATGTATGATTGCAGAAACTAAACATGTATTATTGCAGAAACTAAAGCAGTCAATATACACAAATGTCTTTAATTGGATCAAGTCATTATTAGTCATGGTTTCCAGTTTCTGACTGAAACTGAAACAAGATATGTTGTGGGTCACATGACATCACTGGGATACTTTATCTTCATAAGTTAGAATTGCAATTTTCATTAATTTTTTTAAAAAGTTTTCCTATTCTTTTGAGTTTTGCTTTGAAATTTTAAGTCTTAGCAGAAAAAGAATGAAAATCACACAAAATTAAAATAAATCAATAAAATAAAAAAAAACACACAATTTAAACAAGCTTGCCAGCTTTGTCAAATACTTGTTGAAGGAAAATTAAAAATGATACTTTATTAGTATCTTTAAGTGCCACATGTGGTCAAATATTTGTCTCTTTTCTATCTCTATCCTGGGGGTTTGGTTCCAGAACCCCACCGTGATAGGCAAGGCTACTTGTATTTAATTGACTATTTATTTATATTTGAAGGCTTTATAAACACTCCCCATACTGATATTAACCTTTCCCACTTCCCACACTCTTATAAACACTTCCTATGCTTAGTTTACTGCAAAAATAATTATAATAATAAATATATAAAAATACCTACATAGCGCAAAATCCTGCCTTATAACTTATAGCGAAAAATCCATGATTCAAAATTAGATATATACAAGTTAAAAATTTGTAATGTGGCGAGAGATGACTGTATTTTCAATATGGCATTCTAGCACTGAAAAAAAAAAAAATTACAAAGTAACACAGTCCCATATATTTTTTATTTTTTACTTTTGGAGGAAATTTTGCTGTGACTCCGCTGTATAACGTCACAGAAGGGATGTAATCCATGAGTTGAAGAATTAATGAATATATTTTTCAAATCCAAACAATTACATTACTGACCCAGAAGGAAAGGTCAGGACTGGATAAATGCAGAGTTATAGACTCCATTCAAACATGGGCGCCCGCAGAAAACTTTCTAGGGGGGGGGGGGGGGGAAAAACAATTGATGAACTTTCAGGGGGGGGAAAAATGTTTTAGTAATGTTTTAATGTAGTTTTAATTTACTGTAGCGTATTTGTATAGTGAACGAACGGACAGGATATCAGCTTAGTTACTTTCTCTTTATTTTCTCTTTACTTTAATACATTTTTTGTCTATTTTTGTCTAAATTTTTTTTATCAAATCAATCCAGGAAGGGGGCAAGTGCCCCACCTTGCCCCTACCTGCGGGCGCCCATGCATTCAAATGATAATATTTTCAAACTTCCGCAATTTTTGTGTGTGTGCGCAAGGGAAAATTTTGTGTAAATTTGACATTCATTTCATTCAGTCCGGTTGGAAACAGATTTTTACAATTCAGCAAACATTAATTATCACATGATTATACAAGAGGAATCAAAGAACAAAACAGAACCAGTACATGATAATAATTGAGTCACCTAGCACTTGTAATATTGCAAAAATGATACATTAAAAAAAAAAAAATCAATAACAGATCTGCACCCATAAACGGATTTTTTTACATCTCAAAAAAAGAAATCATATTACAAAACTCTGTTTTGAAAAAGATTAAAAATTAAATTTGATGCTCATAATTTGTTTTAACAACAGGCATGCACAAAACAGTGGCCTTTTTAACTGAATCACTGAATGCATCAAGGGTGATAAAAACAAAGATTTGGTGTGTTAACATGGGCATCCTCAATTTTTCCACAAAATTCACACAAAACATGTTGACACCACAGCACTTTCGTGAGTAGAAAATAATCCCAATACTACTATTTCACAAATCCTTGAAGCAGCGGTGCTGTGTTCATAAAGTCAACTTTCCAACAGGTTTATGTCAAAGAAAATTGTGGTTCATGTTTACTTTTTTTAAAAAAAAGGCACATGACAAAGTATTTCTGCAATGTCATCATTTACACAAGGCCAATACGAAAAACATTACAGGAGCAGAATGCTTCAAGTACAGGAAGACTATAGGGTGGGCAACTCTGGCTAGATGATCATGTTCCATCATTTACCTGGATCATGATAAACACATAAATAGAATATTCACCAGTCAAAATGTGTCAATTTTGTTTGTCATTTTGAAGAAATTTCTTTCAACATCCAAGATTTTAAAACTGGAATAAATATAAACATATATAGTCTTCATCTCACAATTATATATATAAAAAAATATATTAAAACAGTATTAGAATTGTAAAAATAAATAGTGAAATAATATAACAATTTAATTTCAGGAACTTTTTTTTTTACATAAATGATTTTAATTTGTGAGCATTCCCAAGGGCCCAGTTGATAAGCTTGGATTTAAATGCTAGCTTGGATTTAACCGAGAGTTGTTGACTTATGCTCAATTTTTTGTCATGTTCTCATTGATACAGTAGAAGCTTTATTTTCTAGACTATTTGTGATTATTTCCAATCCATATAATTATAATATATAGATGATTGATCACCTACTAAATGTCACAAATAAAAAAAAAATTTCCATATTTAAAATTTTGTTTTTGAACATCAAATTTTGGTGTCATGTTTTTTTTAATGTTAGTTTATAATTCATTACATAAGGCTGTCATGCTGATGCCTTCTTCCCTTGTAAATTTTACATTACAAAACGTAAGGACTCCATAACCTAATACCCAGATAATCAATTTACAGAGATTTTAGTTTCTGATATAAAAAAAAATTATAAGTTCACACATTTTCTTTTTAATGATTTGCAGACATTAATATTAAAAGGGAATTAACTTTAAAGCCAAAATCTTTCAACAATGGTCCCAACAGTATTCTTTTCATATTGTTTAACAATGATCCTTTACCAAGAATAACTTTTATCCTTAACCTCTTGCTATGGTTTTCAGTGCTTCCAAGTATCTTGATGTCATGTGAGTAATTAGAAAGGCAATCTAAGAATGTAAAAAGTTCTTGCATTCTTGTAGTATTTAAATATAAACATCATGATCGCTGGCAGGGAAAGTATCCAGTTGTTTCTTAAGATACAAAATAAATAGAAGCAAACAAGCACAGGGTCTCTTTAAATCAATCATTAATGAAAATAAAAATATTTTTTTTCTTATATATGCAGTGCTCAGAGGCTGGCTTTTAACACAGCTTTATGCACATATCAAGGCAGTTCAAGCAGCAGTGGAGCAGACTAACAAACATGGTTTCATTGAAATGTCTGAGGCTTCAATTTGTAAGTTTAAAAATTCATGAAATGAATTATAAATAGTAACAAGTTATCCCTTAGCTGCCCTTTGATCATTAAGCTCAAACTCTTTGATTGCCCAGATTTCAAAGTTTCTTTTTGGTTTATATTTGTAAGGAAATCTTCATTCATCATTGTTTTTTTTGTCAATGTGGTAATTTATACCACTGCCTGTTTTTTTTTCCCCATTGTGGTCATTTACCAATCTACCTATTTTTTAAGGCCAGTGCTGTCCGCTTAACCAAGCTTATTCTTTCATATTTTGCAAGCATTATTTTTAACATTATATAACTGTTTTTTCTCCATGTTTTAGTCACTTATTTTGATACACAATTCTTTTTCCCATATCTAAATAACTTTCTTCTTCTTCTTCATCTATATATTAAGGGCCCACGATCAATTTATTGATCATATTGGCTCAATCCATTCATATGCGTAAAGGTCAAACTTTATTTTCTTATTATGTCACTTTTAGTTTTTAGTTAAACTTTGGAAAAAAGTTTAAATGCACAATGATTGCACACTTATTATCACTATACTCTTGGATTCCCACACCCATATAAAGGAAACTTTCTGTCAAGGTTTTTGGCATGTGTAAACCACTTCCTGCATATAAGCTATACTAAATAATTTCTCAAACTTTTGGATAAGGTTCATGGCAGAAAAAAACCTTCGTTCCTGATACGGTTCACTTACTCAAAAAATAAGTAATAATAAATTATTTAGTATGCGTGCCGATCTACATTTATATTACCACATGAACAAAGTATTATAACATCTTTAATTATAAGCATACAAAGTTCGCAAATTAGCACTATGATGAGAAATAAAAGTATTAGAAAGTGGAAAATAATCAAGACAAATATAATACTAATAAAAAGCTATTAAAATCCACCACGACATTGTCAAAATGAAACTTGCAAATGAATAATATTTTAAAATCTGTTCAATGCATGTAATAATAATGCTCAAAAGGGTCCTGTGATTGTTAGCAGGAAAGACATACAGCAATTACTTACCGTGTTTACCGAAAACAAGTAGGGATAGTCCAAATGGTTTAATGTTTGCATGTGGTGTGGAAGAGCCAACTTATCCACGTTAAAATAACTTGCTACTGAGTAACTAACTGTAAATATTTCATTACTGAACACTTTAAAATTAAGAAATTCCAAGCTTTAACAGCTAATTAAAGAAAACTCTTTTCTGCATATATATTTTGCTGATGGGCGATTCCATGCAAACCAGCGTTTCTAATACCGGTAGTAAACAAATATAAATTATAGAAATGAGTAGAAAGGAAATCCATAATTGCCCATATAACTTAACCCCACCCACTTGTGTATTCAAGGCATTACCAATACTTAATTAATTTCAGGATTTCTGTTGCAGGTCTTTATGGATGTGATATTAATAAATTTTAAAAAGCATATAATATAATAACCAAAAAGAAAACTAACAAAAATAAATAACATTCAAATATCAAAAGTGGTTACAACTCAGGCTTAGACTTTGGTGTAAAAAAAGAAGATAACTTATAAATATATTACTATGTCAGATTCATGGTTTATTCAATTAATAATATTTTTTTATTTAAATATTTTATTTTTTTAATGTAATTGTACTCAAAAGTAAATACTATTATGATTTTACATCAGGAATATATTATAAAGAGGGGAGCACCATAATACAATCTTGAAGAAGAAAAACACTCAGACATATCTTGAGATTTTGGATATTAATACAACAAAGTGACATGTATGCCCATTTGTGGTGCCCATTCATTTATATAATCTATTATTATAAGTAATATGATAAGCCCTATTTTGCTGCTCATGATGAACCATGAGTCAGACTGGAGCTGTGACCTCAGATATAGTACAATAATGCAAAGAAACAGTGGTTGGATGGTTACAATAAATATATTTTTATAAATAAACACGCACATAAAAATAACTATGTTAAAATTCTTTGTTTTAAAAAGAACATTTAAAAAAAAAATTCCCGACTCATATGTGGTGTGCAAGAAAATTGTTAACTAACATTGACTGACTAGTGTGTGTGTGTATATATAAAAACATTTTGCCCACCCACATAGTTTTTGTCCGACTTAAATTCTGGTTCATAACTCATAGTTTTTTGCCACCAGAAGTAAGTCTTGTATTGGCTGTTTTAAGTTGAGATCATCCACACATGAAATAGAGCAAAAACGTAATATTTCAAAGTCTACATGTGGACTCTAGCCCCTTACTTGCAAGCTCTAAAAGCCAGTGCATTCGGAGACAGTTGAAAAGGAGTCAAATATAGCTACAATAAATATTTTTTCTGTACCCAAAAGAAGAAAAAAAAATACAGAAAACTGAAAAGATACTTTAAAAAGTGATGAGTTATTTTCTATATTCTGATTTTCTATGTTTAAAGATAAAATTCTGTATCATCAGTAACATTTCCCAATGCATAGCCGTCTAATGTAGAGAACAATAAAAGTTTAATCTTTTAAGGACGTCATGTGATCTCATATCACTGTTGGCTCTGATCATGAGCCAAACTCAGTGGTGTCATCTGTGATAGGCTTGAACTCATAGTAGCCACGGCCATCCATCTTTAGATAATACTGGAGATGATCAGAGTGGAAAATTGTTATTAGTGGCTACAAGCCAAATCAATGGCACACGGTAACAATTTTTTATATTCATTCCTAAATGACTGTAATTTTCTCTATGGTTAGGTATCATGGGTTAATTTTTCTGATTGACCAGAAGAGGTTATGATGAGCTTTCACCAATTGTTTTCAGCCTCATCAGTGGACTGGCTTGTTGCTTTTTAGCATAGCAACCCCTACACTTCCCTGAGGCAGCGCAGGAGTTTCTCATTTTGTATCCCCACAATGATAAGGAGCTGACAACAACTGTGATCTAGGATGGCCTACCGCACTGGCTGCCAGTGTGGAGTTCCTTTAATGGTGCAAGGCCATGAAATTATCTAAGCTTAGCATATGCATAAAATGAATATTGATGCAGCACATATTTACTTTTGCTACATGTCAGAACAAAACTGAATAAAATTTTCTTTAAAAGATTAACGATATTTAGCACAATGCATAAACTTTTTCTATTTGGGTATAATATATTTGAATAAAGACAATACAATTTTTCCCACATTTGTTTCTTCTTTATACTTAGAAAAATAAGAATAAGTAGACAGTCAACAAGACAACTGAATACATGAAGATGTCATGCAGCACTGTACCTCATGATGTTTCCATAAAGATTTTCTGTGTGACACAGTGAATAATGTGATGCCAACCTGGAAATATTAAACAAAGAAATGATGCACCAAGGGCAAGATCATTAATAAAAAACAGAAACCAATTCTTCAATAATTGTGGAGAAGAACAATAGGAAGTGTAAACCACAAGATTAGCTCTTGCTCATAAACAGCAGTTTATACTGTCTTTGGTTTTGCACTGAGGTCAAATTTTTTGGATTAAGAATACTATTTTTAAGTATGTGCCTGGATATGGCTAATTGGGTGGCCAAATGGTCTAAATTGAGCAAATCTCAAGTTGGTGGTCTGAAGTTCAATTCCAGCCAAAACCCGGCCAAGCACCCCGGGTGGATGGGAATCGTTAGCCCTGGAAGGCAGCTCATCTAAGAGAAGGCTAACTCTGAATTCAAACCAGGAGCCAAAATGATAAATAATTGATCGTGGGCCCTCAAATGAAAAAAAAAAAAACACCCTTTCAAAATATAATAAAATACAACCAAATTATTATTTTGTATCCATACAGAGGATAAATTTTATCAAATTACTAAAAAAAATCAACCACTAACCTCTCGGCTGTGCTGGTACATATAACCTTCTACATCAACACTAACAGCACTTGTGCACTCATCTAGGATGGCAAATTGGGGCTTATGGTAGAACAGGCGGGCCATCTAGACAAATAGAAAAGTTAATGATGAGGGTATTACACTCTAGAGATGCTTTGTGGCTACTCTGATGCTGATGTCCTAAAGAGTATTGAAGTAGTTGAAATCTATAAAATGAGTCTTTAAAATAACTTCAGTCTTCTCAAAACTTATTTAAACAAAGTCATCCTGGTTACAAGGTCAATGACTTACCGCAATTCTCTGCTTTTCTCCTCCACTCAAGACATCCATCCAATCCTACCAGAAGAATAAAGGGAGAGACCAATACATATGAATCTATGGATGTTCGGCACATGTAAATATTTAACACTGTAATTCTATCATCCATTTTTATGTCAGTCAGTACATTGAAACTTTAATGAACTTACCTGAACAGCCTCCCATCCTCCTTCTCTTTCTAATATATGGTTAAGTTGAACCTGATGGGGGAGAGAGGCAATGTTTAATACTGTCAGGACATTTAGAAAGTAATTCCTTTAAATATCAAAACCGTAAAAATTCTTCTTTTTAAAAACAGTCAAACCAAGCGTTTGTAAGCAAAACAAAATTGTCAACACTTAATTAGCCTTATGGGCTATGTTAATTTTGTTTTTGTCAGGTCTAAAATTATCCTGTAAGCTTTTTTTTTAAAGTTCTATAAACATCTTATTAAGTGCGCTATTTAAAAAAACAGTTCTTTACAATATACAAAATAAGGTGAAGTTATTTTTGAGGCATACACTCTCCACACAAACTTAAACAAAACCCATACTATAGCTACACTTCAGTCACAAAAATAGTCACCTTGTCAAGAATCTCAGCAAGCTCTTCATCCCTGACTCCCTTTTTAAGCTGCTCTGCATGGTTATCTGGGTAGATAACCTGGTCTCTTAAAGTGCCCACGGCCATGTAAGGACGCTGGAATAAACAATCGAAAAGTACATTAGCCATAAAAATTGGAGCAATTTACTGAGCTTTGACAATAGGTTTTACCAAAAGCAATTTGATAACAAATATTTGAAATATAAATGACAAAAATCAGTGTTAATAGCACCTCTACATCGACATACCTGTGGAACATAAAACAGCTTTCCTTTCTCTGGCTTGGTGAGAGTTCCTCCAAAGAGAGGCCACAACTAAACATGAGATTCAAGAATAAACAAACAAGTCAATAATTTAATTAATCCTTTCTCATTCAGATTAATTATGAAAATGTTTCTCAAACAAAGACATCAGTTCACAAGTAACTAATCTATAAATAAAAAACTCTTTGTAAATGTAACCTATAAGAATGCTTGTCAGATCACTCAAGTCATTACAGGTTGAGTAAAAGATCAAGATTGATCATAGTTAAGACGTTTACATTTTTGAGCTGCACATTTTTATCCATAAGAATGAATCCCCACAATTCCCACATTTATTAAAATGATTGCAAGCACTCTCCAGGGTACAGATGTGGAGAAAGGCTAATCCAGCAAAAATATTATGAGAAATGTAAATAAAAAGGATAACAAGAACCATGTCAGATAGCTTACCTCTCCCAATATCCTAAACAAAGAGCTCTTGCCACAACCATTTGGTCCACATACCAGAACATTTTTTCCTGAAGATACCTGTAACATAGTTTAGGTCTTAAGCAACACAAAATTAAAAAAATAATTTAACAACATAAAATAGGAATGTAAATATCTCACATGAAAATGAGTTTAAATAAATAAATTTCATGCCTAAAACCAATGTGAGAAACACAACCCAATTTGTACCTCAAAGCTGAGCTCCTCAATGAGAACATCACCATTAGGTGTCACAAGGGGTACCTTGTCAAACCTACAGATCAAAATATACACACAAATTTGGACCTTACTAGTTGTTTTCTAACATTAAAATTAAATGTTTATTTAATGAAACTGATATAGTTAGTTAAAATAAATTATCCCATCAAATAATTAGAGGGGAGCATATTGCTTACACATTTAAAAGAAGTTAATTTGAGTTCAGATCATATCAGCATTTAATTATAAACAAAATAACATAATTATACCCAAAAAAGCAACAGTTTTGTTTATTGTCATAAAGATGTATGCACCATGTAATACAAGTTACTTTTTGTATTGCACATCAAATTTGAACTAGGGTTAACTGACACTCTGCAACTTACTTGATTATGTGATCTTTGATAATTATTTTTCCATTGCCTGGTTTGAGTGTCAGGGCTTTCAAGTTATTGCTGGATCCTGAAGTATGAAACAAATTTGGGAAAAAATTGTAAACATGATGATGCTTGAGCATATTGCCAATAAAAAAAACTTCAAAGAATATTGCTCTTTCATAAATCTCTGATTTTTATCAGTATCAGATTGATTATCTGATTTTATCAGTATCTGATTCATAAAAGTACTTTTGGGTCACAAGCAATACGTCAGCTTGCCATGGAGTAAATGAAAATGTACCATAATATGGTAATTAAGCAGCAAACATGATAAAACAAAATAGAGATCTGGTGACTAATTATTAACATTCCTGGTATCCTAACATTGCCAATCAGCCATACACTACCTCTTCCATTATCTGTGCTGACCATTGTTCTTTCATAGCGTCCAGTATTCAAATCATCCAGAACTTTCATCAAGTCTGTCACTCTAGCAGTAAATCTGTGGAAAAGTGTGAGCAGAAAAATTCAAATTTAGTCCTTTAAGCCCTGTTTAATGTTTCGTTTATATTTCATTTGACTTGCGCTCCATCCTAAGGCTTTATTATTATTTTCACAACGGTTAATTCCACCTCATTAAAAGTAAAAGAAAATCACCTACCCAGCCAGTCGTGTCAATTCTCTGCCTGCTAAGACAATTCTTCCAATGGCTTCTGCCATCTTGACTAACATGCGACCACTTTTGAAATAGTCCTAACGTTGGAAATAAATTTTTAAAAAATTAATTTCTGTCGTTTGTTTGACATATTATATCCAATATATTTGTAACTCTTTGCATTTTTTTTTTTACAAGGCAGATTTTTTTTTAAATATGCGGGTAAAAATTGAATCACTAAAAAAAATAATTTACATAAAATACTGCATACTGGCTTTGTTTTAGCATGGGAAAGTTCCTCTAAAACCAACAAATATTTGCCCAATATTGAATTACCCATATCACAAAAAAAATGTGGTTTGTCAAGAAAATTCAACATTTAATGATACTAGAAAGACATGGATTTTGGAATCTATGAAATAAACATAAAAAAAACAGATTGTTTAATTTTTTATTGCCTAACATTGATAACAGGCAAGTCACTTACTTCAAGTAGTTCACTGTGAGATGAGTCCTTATGCCTTGGATGGGCCAGATTTAGGAAAGGTCGGCTGACCACTAAATACCCAACCACAGTTGCAATATCTGATGAACATTAATTTAAAATCTCAGCAATTTAGTGAGCTACGTTGGTTTTAATGTAATTTTTATTTTTTACCTAAATATTCTTTGTTGTTGTAGTTTAACTCTTTCCATGCCAGGGGGTTTATCACGTTTATGCCTGATCGATTTTCGTCCAATGAAAATATTTTAGGGTGCTCTTATCAATTAACAATTAATGAATACCTCTTTTAGCAAGATAGCTGTATTTCATATCAAATTAAAGGAAATTGAACACAGAATAATAATACGTAAAATATAAAACAATAAGACAATACGAGTTTAAATTTTATTGGTAATATTATGAGATGAATATATTTTTTTTTTTTTAAATGCGCCACCAAATCTGAACTCATCAGGCTACTATAAGATCTGTGTACTTGGTATCCTATTCTGCTTCAATCACCAGAAAGTATATCCATTTTTTATTAGAATTTTGAAAATATTCCATTTACTGACAGAGTTACACACATTTTTATACGTTAATGTCTACTGAAGAAAACAGTTTCTTTGCACATATATATATATATATATACACAAATGTCAAACACATTATTTACGAAATATTTTGCTTTGGTACAAATTTATTTCTGTGCGGTCCTTTATGAAGCACTCTTTAAGACACAGATGAGGCCTTCCTGTGCATCCGATGCACACATAACACCCGCATTTGGTTATTTTGTGAGCTGAACAGTGTGGACACTGTCAATCATGCCCGTCATAGTCAACCAGATGCTTATTTTCACTGAGAAGCTTGTCTGCACTGTTGATGGACGTTTCCCCTGGTTTTGGCACTAGCGAAATGAGTGTTTCAGAGTTCTAATTATTCTTGCATCTTTTCTGTCTCATTTCTGACTTCTCTTTGTAGGAACAGGGTTAGTATTATCTGAATCCTCACTGTCGCTTTAGTAAAAAATTGGTTTTGAAAAAATTCATAACTTTTGAACCACTTGAGCTAGAAAGTTGATCTTGGTGTTTTTCTAATCTATTCTCTAGGGTCTATACTGCTGTGGTATTTTGATATTTAAAAAAAAATGTTTTGAAATTTTTACCAAAGTGCCGACTGTCAATACTATTACTATCACTGTCACTATTCTATTACCATTTGGCATTTACCGACCCATCACAAAGCTGAAAATCATCACTGGAATCAGATTCAAATAATTCATGGTTGTTAAACTATGTTTCACCATCAATAATTCACAATAAAAGCTCTTGTGCTTAAAAATTTGACAACCTATGTGGTCTGGCACTGATATTCTTGGAGTCAACGTGGCCATTGCTTTGTTTACAAAAAGTTTCAACACAAATAAAAAAAAAGTCTCAATTATTAGAAAAACACATGTGAACAAACACCACTTAACACTAACAGTAAGGAAGTAGGAAGAGTTATTGTTCCTTTGAAAACTTAAAAATTTGGATTGATAGCCATAGGCAGCGAAATAAACTAATGAAAATTAAATAGATGATATATCGTCAATAGGCACATACGCTGGCAGTCTAATCGTTGATTGGCAAGGAAAGAGTTAAGAAAACAGAAAGCTTTAATTTTATCAACGTAAGTGTTCTTACATTTGGCAATAATGTTGTCAATGAATCCCATCTGAACTCGAAAGTGGATGAAATTTCTAAGATGGTCAACCTGTTATGATAAGACAATGCAATGTGAATAGAAAGTTTCTGGGATTTTGAGCAGATTAAGGGACTTTTAATTTGGTGGATCAGTTCTCACGACAAGTGAAGAAATATCTATGCATATACACTTCCAGAATTTACCCCTTTTTGGTAGTTAAGCTAATCACTGCTGCCCATTCATGCTAATATGCTTAAGACCATCACTGCTGCTTAAATTATACAAGACAAAATCAGAGCTCAAATTTAAAAAAAAATCAGCAGACATACCTAACCGGATCACAGAGAGTAAATTCTAGAATTTTAAAGCACTTTTATTAACTCACCAATTTGTGGAATGTTCCAGTAATAATAAACTTTTCTCTGCTATTCCCTTGATAAAATGCAATCTCCTCACTGAAAGAATTTATTACAAAATAAATATTTAAAAAAAGGAGAAAAAAATGAAACAAATTTAATTAAAATATATATAAATATTTTTTTTTGGATAGAAAATTTGTTATGAATTTAAAATATTGACATGACAGTTCCTTGTGAACGTTAGAATAATTACCTGTTGGTGATGAGTCTAGAATTAACATATCTGTATTCCCCTTCCAACTTCTGCTCTGCCACAGTCATACGACCCACAGGTCTACGTAATCTGAACACATTGAAAACAAAAGGGTGATTAAGACTCTCCTGATGACATTTAACATTAAATACATTTTAAAAATTGATGCAATGTAAAAAAAATATTTTTAAAAGTTACAAAAATGGCATTTTGAATCTAGTTACATGTGCCACAAAACAATAAATTCTTTCTAAGTTCTTTGCTGAAATGGCATCAACATGGGAAGATCGCGGCAACACTAAAAATCCATCGAATAACATAGTTTGCTACGTACCTAGTCAATACAGCACCAGAAAAGGCAAGGTACATCAACATATAAGTTGGACCCTATGTGAAGAAATAAAATTTAAAAATTATATAAAAATATCTTAAATTTAGGTTAATATGCTGCCGCAGTTTTAAAATATTATGAATATCTACATCTTGCATACCAAGAATATAAATATGGAAAATGAAATAGAAAATGTTTTCTTAAATGTCTTTTAGGTCTAATCTGGAACAAATATAATTTTACAGACAACAACTCCTTTAAACTCTTCACAAACTATTTGCAGATAAATTGGCTGTCAAAACCGGCAAAGTTCCTTGAGTGCCGATATATTAGTGTTGTAAAATTAACTATACACTTTGTTTCAATTGCAATCAATCCATATTTTTATTTGTTGATACAAAACATCTCTTTAGGAGGGGAGTGTGGAGAAAGTTAGGAGTTATAGAAGAGGCTTACATCATTTATTTGATAGATCAAAATCTTTGATGGAGAAAAAAAAAAAGATGACAAAAATTTTTGTTACCATTTTTTCATGACTTTGAACTGAATAACACTTACATTATGTTATATTTTATACTTAAATTCAGCTGTCATTTTTTCCCCTCCTTTCAGACTATAAGATTTAGACATAACAGCAATTTGATCTGGGTACAACTAATTTGTATCATTCACATGTAATTTAAATCATGATAATAGCAGGAAAAAAATACTATCAGTAAAAAATAAAATTAATGGAGAAGTATTTTCTCATGATCACAAAGAAAAATGTTCCAAACAACTTATAAAATGCATACCATGACACCAATTGCACCAGCAAGTTTGACAGAATAGAGTATTACATCAAGAATTGGCTGAAAAAAATAAAAATTATTCAGAAATTTGTCCAAGGAATATAAAATTTATTCATATTTCTTTTATGTATTTTATATAAACAATTTCAACAGATAACTCAATGTGTTAATAATATGTGTTCCTTACTGATACATGGTTTTAAAAATTTAATCTGTTTTAAAACTTGGCTCATTAAATGAACAATATGTAAATAAAGAGCTGAAAACCAGTATACAAAGCAAAACTATACCAAAGCAGGTGATAATTAACAATAATTAATTTAATTATATTATTAAGTTGATATAAAAACAAACATACAGAAAGAAAAACAATAACTTACAGCAAGTGATAACGATAATTCTAGAAAGGCAAAAATATTAATCCACACATACACAATGAGAAAAAGTTGTCTCTAGTTTTTAAATCTCTGGTAAGTCTCATAAGTCTGCTGGTCACAATCAACCGTCATATTTATAGTGAGGGTGTCAGAACCCACTAGAACATAAATTCTTCAAATTTAATCGTCAGAGAAAATTTTTCTCTCTCTATGTAGACCCTTCTGTTAACATAAACAAATTTTCCCAATCTAGGGCGGTAGGGGTAAAGGAGTGGCAGCACGTGTCATCAATTTAATTGTTGACGTCAGCAGCAAAAACGAAGGGGGGGGGGGAGAAAAAGCAATGCAGGCTATAACATTATGTTATTACTTTTTATGTTCAAAATTGTCTTAGGTTTAAAATTGCTAAGTTATAGCACTTTCCAGCTCTTTGTTTTTATTAAATTTACAATCATAAGAAATGTCCAATTAGTTAAGATCTATGACAGAAGTCATTTTAACTTTATGGCTAAATGTAGCCAACAGCTTTCTCACCTTGCTAAGATTTGAATAGAGCTCAGCAACACAGTCACAGAATTTCTCAGTATCTTGTGTCAGTAACTGGTCAGCATTGGAGATGCGGTTGTCCAAGTTGCTCATTTTGTAGAATGTGAAGCCCCTGTGGTCAATAAGCTATAAATTATTCTTAATTTAAAATTGACTATTTGGAAAATTTAAGTACCATTAAAATGCTTAACCCATTGCAAATAAAAGAAAGTGCTTCACTTATAATAGTGTTACCACAGATACATTTTAATTTATAAAAAATGCAACATAATGCACTTGACTATTTTTGTTCTCTGTAAATGCACTCATAGATTCACACCTAAATAGTATTTTTTGCCCCAATCACTGATGTGAGCTAAATGTCAATTTTTAAAACTTATGGCAGCAAACTTACAAAGTAAATTTCCTCAAAAACTCAGCTTACATACATCATAAGTATGACAAAAAGAGACACACAATTACTTGAATTTTTAACTTACTTGAGATACTTATCATACAAATATTTAGACAACCTGATTCTAAACCTGAGTTTCAGCATGTATAGTCCATACTGCAATAAAAAGAGCCACATAGAGACAATAAATTAGAATTATCCTCACTGATAAAAGTTACTAATTGCATTAAAGAAAAAACTGGGATTGATTAGTTAGTTACACAAACCTTATTGGAGTTTCAATCTATGCTGTTTGAAAAGAACAATGTCTTGATATATTTGATGACATAAAAAAATTTAATTTAACAAAATAAATAAAAAAACATATTAATCTCATCAACGTTTTAAAAAAAACAACATAAGTACATGCTATTTAAGAACAAAAGTTACCATAGAAGAATATTATCTTATACAGATGTTATGTGCAGCAATATTTAGCAAATCAAAATCTGTTAACAGATTCCCATTTAGTTCACTTGAGATATCAAGTTTTATTACATCAAACTTTAAAGTACCCTCCACTCAAGATCAATGATACATACTTTTCCTCAAATCTGATCTTCTTCAAACTTTAATTCAAAGAATAAAACAAAACAATTACAGTAAAAGAGCCTCGAATACACGTATGAAATTACCTTTAGCAGATTATTTACCACCGATATCTGAAAATACAAAATTATTGAATAATAGATTGAAAATTAATCACACGAGGTGAAAGGCACATGAATACATGATAATAACCTCAAGAATATGTCTTTTTAAATAGACAGTGACAGCTATAAAGTGATAATCTTGCAATGTATATATTTTTTAAAGCATATAACCGAGTCACATTTTTTTTACAAATACTTAGAGCCATAGAAGTGTTAAATAAAATATTTAAATCAAGCAGTAACTGCAGGAATAGTTGGGGCTGAAGGGGGATGGCACAAATTTATACAATTAAGAATCTTTTTCAACATTTATAGTGAAGTCATTTACCCACATGCCTTTTAAACTATCCCTGCTAGGATATCACAGGTATAACTATTTAAGTACTGCAATAACACAATGACTTAAATTAAGTTATGATATAAAAAAAAAGGGGGGGGGCTTCAAATTTGCAAGGCTGATTTAGTTTTTAAAAATACATTTTTATCGGATAACCACTATATAATTTTACTGCTGTTTAGTTATTGTTTTTGTGTGCTTGCAAGATTCTGTGCAGCTGCTTCTGCAATAACCTTGTGAAGTGTGTTAAGAAACATAGAATGTGCACAACAGCTGAATCATCTATTTAGGTAATATGCAAAGATCAACTGTTGGTTTGTGTAGACAGACCTGCCCAGCCTGTTTGAACCTTGTCAAACATCACAGAGCATCAGGTATAGATTTTGAAAAATCAAAATGACTTACAACAGGCATGGCATAAATAAACTTGAATAGCAAGACCTTGAACTGTTGGGCATCTCTGCCAATTATTGCACTAAATCAAAAGAAAACAGAGAGCAATTCAATTTTGACAGATGTCAACAAAGTTATTATATTCACTGTTCAAACGTGTTACTGCTTGAAATTAGCTCAACAATAACATAAAGGGGCTACACATAATTGACAAATAAAATTACTGGTACATTGTTGATCGAATATATGCATAAACTTACGTATTTCAATGTCCATTCCATAATGAATGATAGGAATAAAGTTGGCATATCTTACTTATTTTGCGTATTATCCAACGCACCTTTCAATAGATGTTCCATTCTGAATCATCCATACATCAGCATAGGTCCTGGCCACTAGACTGACAGCGACAATGGCCAGGTAGAAAGTCTGTGAGAAAATGCAATGAATAAATCAATGCTTACATGAGTGACCTTGTTTAATTCCATTAGGCCTGGTTATGATTCATCACATAGCACAACATATTTCAACGACTTCTTGCACAAGTCAGTAACAGATTAATGGAAATTGCTAGAAAAACAGCAGGATCCATCTAAAAACTGCAGTTTATAAAGTCAGAGTGATTGGTTTTAAAGTTATGCAAATTTGTGGTCATTAAATTATAGAAATAGTGACAATTTTTTTTTAAAGTTTCAGGAAAGAAATGACTGATATTACAAAATGAAACTTTCCATGCACAGAACTGGTAATTGAATAAGAATTGTGTTTTCATATCAAGGTAAAACTGATAATATAATAAGTCAAAACTGTGCAGCCTAATGGGACTTGACTCTTGGTTTTTATTTGAGGAGTGCACTTTGGAGACTTTGAATTCCTGAATCTTACTGTTTTTACTAAGTACTGGTATATGAGGTTAGATAGCTGCTAAAACATTGTAGGCCTAAAAGCCTTTAAATATTTTATAAATACATAAATTTAGTCATTTGCTTGAACTTAAATAATATAACCAAACAGGTAAAATCTGACTCCATTTAAAGAGTAGACATAAATTTAATAGTTAATAAATGTTATTTACGAAGTTACCATCTATTTCAGTAAACGGAATGAACCTAATTTTGTACGCCTTTCAGGATAAACAGTGAAATAGTAATAAGTTACATGTAATAACATAATTTAACAGCTGAAATGTGTTTATTAAGTTTGTAAAATACACACTTAAAAATTCTAAGTTGACTCACTTCTTTAGTAAAAACACCAGGTATCAGCACCTTCAAGATTTTGCCCAGACGTCTGAAAATGAATTTGTGCAGAGTATTATAATATCAGAAATCACTCTTCAAACAATGGCCTCAGCAATGCATGAAAATCCAGCCTGCCTCAGTTACTGGACAAGACAGAACATGCATTCAAGTACCGCACTTTATTATAATCCCAATTAGAGCTAATTTCTGGTAATTTTATTTTGTGTGCCTAGTGAACACAGCCATACATACATACAGAGAAAATGATTATTTGTGATCCTTCACATTCAACCAGAAATCACCATTGTTTTTATTATTATGTATTATAAGTTATATTGGGGGTTAACCCACAAAGCAAAGTGGACTCATTTCAAACGTAAGACAAATCTTAATAATTTATTCATCCCAATATAATTTATGCCATGAATAAGATTTTTCTCGTAATGAGGCTCATAATTTTTACAAAGTAAATGTCAACATGGCAGCATAAAATTAGCCATTCAAACATTTAACATTAATGTATCTTGGTAAAGTCATAAAAAATTCTGTAACATAATTCAAGCAAATGAATAAATTAATATTTGGGGACAGGATGAAGGATTTTAAAACTTACGCAAAAAACACAGAATTGACAACAGCCTTCTCTTTCTTCTGACCATGCTGGAAGAAGATAGAAAATACAGATATTTAAGTATTTCCCCAATGGGGATATATGCAAAGATATGAGTTGATGCAACAAAACAAATTATTTATTCAGACAAATGGATGTCTTAATATAACTATGCAGGAATGTTGTTATGAATCATTATATATATATATAAATAAAAAGATAAGCCTATGAGTATGGCAAACAAAAATTACAACATTGAAGCAAATTTTTAATCAGTTAAAATAACCTGACACCAAAATAACAGACTTAAATTGAAAAACTAGGAAGTAACTGACCTGAGCGATAACAACTTTAACTTCCTCTTCTGGAGCATTTGATTTTCTGTCATTAAAAAAACAAACTTTAGTTTAATAACATGGCATCATGATAAAAATATATCAAGTCTAAGGCCTGTAATTTGAAATTCAAATATATGGTATAAAAAAAATAAGAAAACTTTGCTGGTGTGCCACAGTATGATGTAAGATGTGCCGTGGCAAAATTCCCCCCAGGGTGGGGGATGAAAAACTCCAGGAGACATTTTAATTTGTTGAAACAGAAGGACAATGATTTGCTAATTAACAAGCTGTCAAACTTTTGAAGTCAAATAGCACAGCACAGATGCATGTTTAAATTTGGTGTTTCTCATGACCAAGTCAACCTTTCATGGTTTCTGAAGCCCTGAGTAAAGTACATCCCTCTGACTTTGACCTCTGATCACATCTTTTCAGCCTGTACTGTATAATACTCTTAGGTGTTGGTTACTGGTGTTTAAAAATTATTTACACTACCCAATAACATTTCATCGCCAATAATTGAAAACAAATCTAACACAAACTAAACCCCATCCTGTCAAGGCAGAGGGTAGTACCCAAACTATTTCATCTGATTTGTTGACACAGTCAAACAGGTGTTGATCTGAGTGTGCAACATAATTATTAAAAAAAAAAACAACATTTTTACCCCAACAACCAAAAAAAAAAAAAAAGAAATTGAAGGGTAGTACCCAAACTATTTCATCTGATTTGTTGAAACAGTCAAACAGGTGTTGATCTGAGTGTGCAACAAAATTATTAAAAAAAAAAACAACATTTTTACCCCAACAACCAAAAAAAAAAAAAAAGAAATTGTGTTTTTGAATGGGAACATTTCTATGAGATAAATCAGTATGCAATGGCCTTCAGAATTTGTGAAATAAATGAAAAAAATTACAGTTTTAAACATGGATACAAGCAGTTGTATGCACAAAAAAACAAAAAACAAACAAACTAAGAGGGTGACAAGGCAGTTTCCCTTAAATTTCTGTTCTTAAAAAGTGAAAACTTTTTATGTTTTATAACTTGGTAAACAAAAATCTACCTGCTCACATTAATTTCATGTCTATTTGAGAGAGAAAAAAAATATTCATGCACCATGTAAACAAAAGCAAACAATTTTCTTAATCATGGTGTGCCGCGAAAATCTGGGAAGAGTCCAGAAGTGCAGTGAGGGGGAAAAGGCTGCGGAGCACTGGTGTAGATGACCTAAAATTTGTTTTATAACATTACATTTTTTTTTTTTATTATGGAAAAAGATGGACAACAAATTTTTTTTACAGTTTTACAAATCAAAGAACTAAAGCAATGTAAGAATATCTATATAATCTACTTTTTTTCATTGGGAAAGAACAACAAAAAGAACAACAAAAAGAAGTACTGATTATTTAGAGCTACTTAAATGGGTTTTAAGATTTCAGGTTCAAAATCACATGAAACCATGGCCAAATGGAAATGATCAAAACACATGTATTGATTTAAAAATATTTAAGTTATATTTCTTTTCATAACAGAAGCATGCAGGTTGGTGTAGGTGCACTAATAATTTAATTATCAATATCTTCACAAATTTAATAGAAAATTAGAACTACTTAAACCAGAAAGAGCAAAAAGCAAAAAGTATGTTGGGCAGTGAAGACCCTTCTTTATATATAAAGTTGTGCAACTGAGACTTGCTTTTACACCACTCCTTTATTCAGACTTGTTTGAGTGATTGAGATGTATTAATAAAATAATTTAAATTATTCAGAGTAAGGGACCATCAATATAATATGTACATTAAAAAAAGTCAAAATTCCCCCCCCCCCCTGCATGGATACTTTATAGATAGCCCCTTTCAACCCCTCATCCAAAAAATAAAACAACAAAAAACTACCATCAAAATATATTTCTTTATAGGCGATTATGATGTCACAGTAAAAATTATTCTGTCATAAGTTTTTACCGCTGTCCGTTATGGCATGCCCAGTGGTTCACAGAATATATACTGCATGGCCCTGAAGAGCCGCATCGCCCTCAGACTGGGCCATGACAAGGGATGCTTGTCCCAGGTGCCAACATCAAGGACATGCCAAAATAATCATAAGATTGAACCTTAACTGAAACTATAAGATCCCATGTTCCAAAAAGGACAAGTTACATCAAAAAGGACAAGTTACATCAAAAAGTGTCTTTTTACTGGCAATTTTTCTATATATTGTGGGGCACCATTTTCAGAATTTTCCTAGGGCACCGCTTCTTCTACTAGTGTTATAGCTTTCAATGTGCTATTCAAGGACTGTCAGAATTTCAGGAAAATTATTGCAGAATTTGTTAATAAATTTACAGCACATAATTTCTGCCAAGACCCCTCTTCACCATTATATGCACGTGAATGCAAAATCAACAACCCCCTCCCCCTCAGTGTGTATGGATTATATGGATGGCCCCTAAACATACCCTTTACATCCAAACAAAACACACATCAAGGAAAAGTCGAATAGCCTCCAATACCACTAGGACACAAAAACAATAGAGTCTTACATGCTGGCAATCTATCCTGGCACCAATAGGACTCAAAACCGATCTGTTTACTCACCAGTCGAATATAGCCTTGGTCATTTTCGGATGCGAAGGATGAAAAAGAATTGTATTCCATTTTTGTAAGTAAGCCAGGGGCCTCACTTATATTTTATACCTCACCTTATAATTATGTCGGCTGCGGCAGCTTTTGGTTATATAATTTTTTTTAATGAGGAGGTAAATTATTCTTTATTTTTATATTAATTTAATTATTTATAATATGGGAAGTAATATTTAACAAATGTCTTTAACTAAAACTGGACACTGTTACTGTGTAAAATTTATTTCAATAGCAGCATTAATTGAATAGTTAGTGTTACATAGGCGTCCCATTTTACTTTTATGTATCTTTTCTGGTGAATGAACTTAAGCTGACCCCTATTCGGCTGCACTGCACTATTAGGGTGTGGCTTACTAATTTGACCTCGGTTACCAACCTAATATATGGTCTGTTTTTATTAGAATTTAGTGGAAAGTTGGAGACATGATTACAATGCATATTCTGTTCTCGAAGGATATAAGAAACAGGCTGTATATAAGCCGATGTATTGACACGGCAGATGCAGATGACAAACTTGAGTTATTTTGAATGTGTATTTTTGCTAGAAAGCTTTGTTTACTGTATATGTGTAGATTTCCATTCATCATTGTACCTTTTTTGCACATTGTGTTTTCTTCAACATTGTACCGGTACGAGCCAATTATTATTCTGTAAGTCAATAGTTTTAATTATATTTCTTTTTGATTTTGAAATTTATTATTATTAACTTAATAAAACTTAATAATTGTAATTATAGTATTTATCATTTGGTATGGTCTTTTGTTGTGTACTGTTTTAGAACGAGCCTTATACTTAAATAAAAGATTAATTTCTCCCTATTGATAACAGTTCGTAACAGTTAGACTATTTTATATTACTCTTAAAAAGTATGGGTTTTTACAAATGTCAATACTAACTACACCATATATTTATCTGATCATATTAATTAAAGAAAAAAAATATATTTATTCACAATTTATGCATTTTATTTTGTTAAAGATTGTTTTTTTAGGGTCTCCACATAATTTGATTGCTACACTTTTGAAAACAAGAAAGTTAAAAACTAAATTTTAAAGAAAGATTATAGTGTTAGGCCTAAAATGGCTCACATAAGGCCGATAAAAAATTCATAAAATTTCTTCTACAAACAAGTGATTAAAAAAATATTCATGATGTCAATGGAAAGCTAAATGCCAGCCTTTTCCAATAATATGCTTTTTGAGCATTTTAGATGTATTTGAAATTTTAATTTTGAATACAGATAACGGATGGAAATTAGAATTTAAAAGCATATTGATATTGTTGCAATGATTATGAATCTAAAATACTAGATTAACTATATAATTGCAAATTAACTCTCAAAGTAATTTATATTGGATTTTCTATCACAAGTGATCGGTGGATTATAACTTGATTTTTTTTATCACCTTTTACATACCAAAGTTATTTTTAACTTGCAACTAAAAATTTGTCGATAAATTTGTTAAAAATATAATTTTAAGGATAAATTTTAATTTTTAATTTTCAAAAATTTAGGCTGTACATCATGTTTCAGTTTTGTTCATGACACCATTTTTGTCAGTCATTTTGCTAATCCTGTGAAACTTTACTCAAGGCTGGTAGCGTAAAATGACACAAAAACTCTTCAACATTTATCTTCCAATGATATTGTTCATTATATTTTAAGCCAAGAACTGATATTAGCATGATAAAAACAAGTAGAAGACATGCTGTTTTTGTGTATTTTTGCTTGATCCAAAGTTTGCTATCAGCTGTAAGATTTTTTTCTTTGTTATGACAGGTAAAAATGCACTCAAATTTTGTGTAATTAGTGGGAAAACTATATCTACATTGATATACTGTAACAGAGGGCTTCATAAATATTGAAAATATGTATTTAAGCTTACTTATATTAATTTCTTTTTTCTATTTTATTAGCTTTTTTTTTTTCTTTCTACAATGGCATAGTTTAAAATTTCCTTTGTTTACACTCGATATGCTAAGGGAAGGCAATGATTTTACGGTCTATAATTTATTCTGAATTAAAAAAAGCTTTTAATTTTGATTTTTTATTATTTTAAATTGCTTTTAGTTTTTTTTTTTTTTTTTTTTTTTTTTTTTTTTTTTTTATTTTTTTTTTTTTTTTTTTTTTTTTAAATTTTAAGATCGAAGCCTAAATCTAAGGTTTAAATTCTATTATCATTTTACAGTATCAGACTGGTGACTAGGATATTGAGCAACTCAATCATCATGGCAATGATATTCCTGTCATGAGACCTGAGCTAAAAACTGAAACCTGTCAAAAACAAGACAAGATTTGGAGTACATTCACCTTTATCACTTTTCAACTTCAATTTACATCATAAAGGCTGGAGATTCTTTGTAAATGTATATACAATTACAGCTGCAATGTTATGGCAACTAAACCAACTTGATTTTCAAACTGGACTTCCAACTGATAAACAAAATTTTTAACATTCATTAGACTTCTAGCCTACATGCAAATACAGGCCTATACTAAACAGTAAGATTCTAAAAGAAAAAAACAGAGTAAACTGCTGATAATCAGGTAAAGTTAATTACATCTGTACCCAATGAAATGGACATGCATGCAGATATGGTCCCTGGAGTAACCATAAAAAATAATCAAGAGAAGCAGGAGAGGACAGGACATATTCTTTTCATAAATGTAAAACAATACCGGTATGGAACAGCATAACTGTAAATGAATTATTGGTTCTTGCAGATTCAATCTAGTTGATTGGGTTGTGATAAAATTAGTTGATAAAAGATATCAGCTTTGGAATAAATAAAAATAATATGGCTATGGACAATATGGTTAGTAGAAGAAAACAACAGTGGCCAAGACTGTCAAGAGACTTATTCTTTCATTTTAAATAATTTTCTAGTTTTATTAGTAAGCTGAGAGTCATATTTATTTTAATCTGAAGAAAGCAAAATGTGTGTCTTGAATAATTAAAAAGATCTGACACTGATAGCTTTAGTCTTTTTAGTTATTAGTTCTTCAGTAATCAGGCGGTGACAAAGTTTGTTGACAATGTTCATGTTTCTGCTGCAGCAATATGAATGATTTTAACTCAGCAAAAGCATGCTGTTAAAACTGGAATTGTTACTTACAGTAAAGATATAAGATGAAATCTTTATTGGGTTTATAGAATAGAGAGAAAATGTATGACTTAATGTGCTGCCATTGTTAAATATATGAGTTTTCTGGAAAACAGAAATTGTCATATGTTACACTGATATTTGTTTATTTGTACCCAATGTGGTATATTTTTAAAAAATATTTTAAAATTATTTTTACCATGTATATCATTTTTTAATAATAATAGGATTTCTCTTGTGAAATACTTGACTTGTTTTCTTTAATTTTTTATATTAAAAAAAAAAAAAAAAGAAAGAAAATTAACTCTTTGTAAAAATGTATGAATGTATTTTTAAAAAGGGTGTAAATAAATACAAAGGTTGTTAAAATTGCTTGAAATTTTTATGTGTTGTAAAAATGGAACCATTGATGAATATAATAATAATAAACATTTTAACTTAGGATGCAATACTTATGTTTTTGCTTCTACCTGTTTGTGGTATGTTTACATTTTTGTGAAAATTTAGCACACCTAAAAACCTAATCTTTCAGCCATAAATCAAAACCAGGATTATCTGTGATCTCATAATTGGTATCAAATAATAGATCATTGAATTTTGAATCCAATGATATATAACATGTTATTATCACTATGTTCTTCATTAAAGGACCAGTAAGATGGCAAAGGAACCAAAAGGATGCAAAAATGGCAGAAAACAAACCATGTTTGAGAGTTAAGTTTCTTTATTGCTCTGATTCTGGCGAAACATAATTTGTGAAGTTATCACATTTATCTTTAAATTTTCAGTTGTCAATTTAAAGTCGTCTCGATGCACTTCATACAGTTTAATCATTAATTCTTTGAATCTGTCTACAAACTAGAGTTGTAATCTTTTATGCAAAATTAAATTTTATTTCCACAAACAAATATTATCCCCTAGGAAAACGCTTTTATTAGGCCTTTCTAAATGATAGACAAGTGGCTCAAGGGGTTATCTGTCCCATGTCTAAGGGGACCAAACCCAATATTAAAATCACTGATATTTGATAAGCCAATAATAATTATTTAAGTTATAAAACATTTCTTTTTTAAAATTAGTAATTATTAATCTTTCCAATAATTTATATTGTGGATAAACAATTAAATGAATTATCTACTACCCCGTGGCCACTATCGATAATAGGTAATATCCAAGCATGCAGGGCATGATGAAAAATCACAGAGACTAAAGAGTGATCTCTTTGATTTTTATTTTGACCACAGCCTACGGCTACACTCATTATTAAGTGTTATAAATTAAAGAAACCTGTTTTTTTAATTTGATCAGTATTTTGTTGTTTTTTTTTATTAATGATCAGTAAAATTTACCTATTTTTAACTTCAACTTTCAATTTTAACTTAGAAAAAAATAATCAATTGAATTCTCAATAGAACTAGCAAGATGTCAGCTCTAAGTAATTTGTGGAAGTAGAATTTTTTACGTTTTATGAAGTGTCTACATGTCTAGCGACCTGACGAATAAGTTCTCGAGATATTCGTCCGGCAACCAGGTCACATGACCGCCGTAACAATGTTGGGCGAGATATCTGTCCGTCAGCCGTGTCACGTTACCGGCGACTGGACGAATAAGTTCTAGAGATTTTCGTCCAGCGACCAGGTCACATGACTGCCGTAACAAAGTTGGGCGAGATAACTATCTGTCAGCCTTGTCACATGGCCGCTAATAGTCGATCATAAAACTGGCGTCAAAGATGCAGGTGGGTGACAAGTATACACTTCATTTCAAGAAATAAGTGGAGGGAGGGGGAAGCAATGCATACTAAAAGTAAAAAATACTGAGAGTGAGAGAGAAAGGATAAAAATGATAGTGAGGGTGATAAATAATTAAGGCGAGGAGTTCAAATGTTCACAAAGAAATAGACCCTACATCTTAATATAGGGCCAATATAGTGTGCGTACTTCTCACTCAATATTAATAGCCTAAAATAAGCTATTTAAGACAGTGGGCTAGTAGGTATATTGACAGTCAAATGGCAAGTATTGGTCTTATTTTCTTTGGTTGATATTTTAAATTTAGGCTACTAGGTAGAGCTTTATAAGATATTTAAACCAAGATAACGGAATTTTTTTTTTTTTAATTTTGCCGGCGACCTACTGTCACATGAAATGTCTGCCGGAATAATAACACATACAAGTTGTCCGGGCGGTCGCGTGGCATGCCCGCCGGAAGAATATCTCCCACACTATCTGTCCGGTCACCGAACGTGTAGAAACTGCCAATTTTTTATTCTGCTTAAAATTGGCTATAAAAGGTGAAACAACAATAACCTCATTAAATTAAAATGTGTGGGTCGCTATTGTGTGGGTCGCTATTTTGACAACAAAATTACTATTTACTATACTAGTACGATACTGGATCATACCCGATTTTCTGGTGTTTCTGGGCAATACTGAAGTGACTACTAAGTCTAAGTATTAAATTTGTCTAGGCCTTATACTAGGTAATAAACTTTGGTAAACTTGTTAGGCTAAACAACTGTTTATACTTATAGTATGAGTGGCTACAAATAAAAGTCAGTTTAAAAACTTTTGTTATTTTTATTAATAATAATTAGTAATTAAAACGTGAGTAAAGTGATATTTAATTTGATCAACATTTTGAACTAAACGCTGAGCCAATTAAACTGGATATGTAGTAAAATTATCAAACCTTTTCGTTGCTTTCTTGTTCGCCCTTTTATAAATGAAATATGCTGCGATACCGGCTGCGGTAATAAGAGCAGAATTTCTCGGTGTGAACTTCAGAAGTTTACTATGCGCCGCCATGTTGTTGGGTGAAACCATGGGGCAATTAAAAATTTTGACTGACGTGAATAATTTATCATTGAAATAATATTTTTGTTAGTCAAAGTTTGTGTAATTATCTTTAAATTTTGTAAATAAAAAATTATGACTAATATTATCATTTGATGATTATTATTCTGAAAGAAACTAAAAGGTTTCATTTCGATTGAAAGTTTTATTAATTAATTGTGCTATGATATGGTCAATCGTACTTTTACATACAAAGTCTAAAGTCCGTTTCTCACGGTCAAAATTCTATTTAAATTATTTTATATAATTATAATAATGTCATGTGTATGCCACATGTAATTAAATCAGCAGTGAGCGATAAATTCATAATACTGTTAATTTTTGTTTAGTAAATCTTAAGGACCTGCATAATTTTCGAGTAGTGACAACATTTGGTCATAGAATCATAATTAATAATGTGTTGCGAACTTAAAAATAAAATTTACTGACAAATATTTTAATTAATTGTTTACAATGTTTAAATCCTTTACAGTAACTCCGCTTTTGTTCGTGTGCTTCTGGCTGGCAAAATGTCCGGACGACCATTTGACCCACTTCCCGTCAACATATCGAGCGGAAACTTGGCACAATACTAATAGACTCATTGCCGATGACGAGACATTATTTCAAATTTTCAGCCCCCTTCCCCAATAATCAGTTTTTTCAAAGTGAAATGAGGGAAATATTATGATGACATAAAATTCACAATAACTGCACTAAATGAGATTCTTTAAAAAAAACAAAAAATATCGCAAGTCCGTTTGATGCGTAATATTTTCTTTAATTTTTCTGACATATATGGTGAAATTAATATGCGGTGTAAAAGCGGGTGGGGCGTTATCATATTAATATAATAAAATGCATATAAAAGATTTATGCTAAAAACTTTTTTTTTTAGTCTTTGTTTAATTCTGGACAAACATCTCTTATTCATATGATTATGATTTTACACCAGAGGTGCCACTAGGGTTGATGTCTTCTTCCTCTATATATTAAGTGCCCATGATCAATTTATTGATCCTTCTGGCTCCTATGCATGTTTAGGGGATTTGCAATGTTTCTGTGCCTGGTGTTGATGAGAATATTTCACTGGTTGCAAGGGCTACTTTGTGAGGGTATCATGTACTAGGTTTTGGAAGCCTGAGGCAATAGACGCAAATGTGTCAACTCTTCCTTTTGGAAGCTTGTTCCAGTCCCTGATTGTCTTTGGCAGGAATGAGCAGTTCATAATACTGGCTTCTCTGCGATATGAGCCGGAACTGCCTGTCATGGCCTCGTCTCGTCACTGTCTATCGGGGAGAGGGACGAGTTTCTGTTTAATGCTGGAGCAGTGGGCCAGCCCATTATTTATCTTGTAGGCCTGCGTTTCGGGAGGATGCCTTATTCTGCATGTATGTAAATCAAGAATTGACTGTGAATATTAGTATTAAAAACATGTAGCTAATTTTTTTTAAGAATATTGTTGACTATTCAATAACGATATTGATAGCAAATAAAATTTTGATATCCAGAAAATGTTTTTTTTTTTTTTTTAAATGAATTTTAGTATGAGTATAATTTTTTGTTTAAATTTTTTTTTTTTTTTTTTTTTTTTAAATGAATTTTAGTATGAATATAATTTTTTTTTTATATTTTTTTTTTTTTTTTTTTTTTGGATGATATTATTTGATATTCCCAAGCTTGACTTTACTTTATGCCCGTGTCGTCAAAAATTGTGTTACGTTAAAAATTTTGGATTTAGTTTCAATCCCAGCTCAGCCATTTTTTTTCCTAAGAAATTTTTATTTTCTCTTCTCTTTTCCTACATCAATTTTGTTATATAGAGAAATTCAAAACATACCCTCCTCTGGTTTAGCTCGATTACCCTCGATTTCTGCTCCCCTACTATGCCATCTTTGTCTATAAAAATGACTATGATGTGCACTTTTTAATTTTCAATAAAGCACTATCTATAAATATATAAACGTCAGTCAACTCCTTAGGGAAGTTACTTTTTTAGACATGCGATGTGCGAAGTTATTATATACATAATACTGAACGTTTATTTATTTTGTGCTACGATACGATTTTGTACAATTTTGAAATGGTGAAGTAGCCAGCTCACGATATTTTACTATTTTGCGGGTTCCAGGGTAACCGGTACTGCGGTACTATTTATTTAATATTGCAGATTTGAGGGGAGGTAATTCCTCATACTTTTGCTAATCTTTTCTTTAATGTTATTTCTAGAGCGTAGCGTTCCTTGTGTCGGAACACTTAACTGACAGTGTTTCCCAACCCTTTTTATGCCATGCCCCAACCAAGCTTTTCAAATTCTTAATATAGACTATAAATAATTTATAATACTCAAAAACTGAATTGTGAGCTAAATGAAAACTAAATTATAAGTTTTAGGAAGAAGGAAAAATGCTTTAGGAATGAATATGATTTATGAAGAAATTTTTAAGGCAACACAGTAAGTAATTTTAAAAAACATTATTAAAATGAATAATAATTGAGAGCTGAATTTCTAGTACAAATTAACGATTTGTTATTTCATTTAAAATTCATTATTTGATAATTTTAAAATACAACACAAAAAAAAAAGATCACAAATACAGTGTGAGAAACTTGAGCTGATGCACAGAGGTTTTATGTTAGGCTCCCATTTAGATAACTTTAGTCTCAAGTCTCCTCGCTGTGTTATATCCATCCGATCTATTCTTCTTGTTTTTTTTTTTTTTTTTTTTTTATCTGTAACTCACTTATTTTTTTTTTTTTTTTTTTTTTTTTTTTAGCAGTAACTCACTTATGGCACTAAATCCACATTCAGCTAAATATGAAGTTGGAAACGCTTACACTGCTGTCTTGCACATTGGTCGAATTATTTGGATATTTGATTTCTGTTTCCTCACAAAGCCTTGCCATCGCTCCGTTTATATTAAATAACGTTTTAACAGACTCGTTATTTTGCATTTCTGTGAGTTCTTTTTTTTTTTATGTTGCATTTTTAAAATATCAGGCAAATCCGCTAACATTGGCTGCAGCTTCAGAAAGGTGCACTCTACACAATGGCGTTAAACTTATTGCGCTAAAACTAAAATATGATTTTATCATTTTTTTAAATGTATAGATTCGATCAGGGACGTGCTGGCCCACGACGCGACGAGCATTCGTCATGGGCCTTTTTGGGCAGTTATTACAATCTCCGGTGTGCCGGGGGGGCCTGGGGGGGGGGGGCCTCCGGGCCTTTCTTACTACACCGTTCGTCACGGGTTTCCATGTGCCAGCACGACCCTGTATTCCAGTGGTTCTAAACCTTCCTAAACCTTCCTAGTGCCATGACCCTTTAATACAGTTTCTCGTGTCGTGGCGACCCCCCAGCCACACAATTATTTTCGTTGCTTCTTCATAGCTGTAAGGATATATATTTTCAGATTGTCTTAGGCGACCCTGGAAAGGAGTCGCGACCCACATGTTGAGAACCGCTGCTGTATTCGATAGTCCTTGGTACTTTTCCCTGGACAGTAGGTTAAACTGATTTGTGAAGAAGACAAAAACATAGCAGAACTGTATGAGTTTGGCGATAAAAAATATTTTAATATTAATTGCATTAATATTTTTTATTAGCCTTCGAAAATAAAAAGAAATGATTACTTTCACAGTGCTCAGTGCCCATGTCACATATTATTATGGATGGACCAATATGGCTGCAGAGTGGAGAGGTGTTATCTTCTTGTATGTCAACAACTCGACCGTACCACTATGATGGGCACCTTCATTTAACTTCCATGGTACCCGTTTCCCACTTTAAGGCAACGGATACCGTATCTTGGTAACTTTGGTTAGTCCTACTGTCTAACACTGATACCATAGAGCAGGCCTGCACAACTCGAAATGTAAGTTGGTTCGTAATACTTTATGGAAAAAACGTGTGCGGACCGAAAGAAAATTTGGACAGGGGCAAAGCTATTATAAAAATAATAATAATAAAGAATATTTCGTTACTTCACGGGCCGCAAGGTGGGTACTGGTGGGCCGCATGTGGCCCGTGGGCCGTGAAGTGTGCAGTGTTACAGACATGCATAAGCCATCACAAATAATAATTCTCTAGGTATGTAATGTAACGGATGTGTTCAGTAGGCGTCGAGCCCCCAAAATGAGCAAAAGGGGGCCACACTAGAGACGATTAGGGCTTATAGTGACGATATGGTATCAATCTTCACCGACGGCTCTTATCTCGCTGGCGAAAAGCGGGCGGGCTACGGCGCGCTCATACAGTATCCGAAAGGGGTACCACCAACAAGGAGATTTCAGGTCCAAGCGGCATGAAAAGTTCTGCAGTAGAAGCAGAAGTTGAAGCTATTCTTATGGGCCTGAAACAAGTGCGCCGTCGGCTAGCCAAACATTTCCATCCGTCGTAGTGTTCACCGACTCACAATGTGCTCTTGAAATTGTGAAGAGGTGCTCTTGGGACACTAAGTAAGACGGTACAGGCAATCATGGAGCTCGTACGAGACATACGGTCTCACGGAGGGACAGTGATCCTTCAATGGATCCCAGTACACGCGGGGATCCCCCCACAAGTCAGAGCTGGCTGGCTTGCGAGACAAGGCTCTTCCCAGCCTCAACCTAACAGACCGATGACCCAACTGGGGGCCAAAGCCTGGATCAAGGACCTCTTCCAGGAGGAATGGAGGAAAGAATGTGAACAGGGTACCACTGTCCGAAAACTTTACCGGAGCATGCCAAAAACAAACCGCAAGGACGATCAATGGTGGGGGCTTAAACGCCACCGGCAGAGCCTCATCACACAGATGAGGACAGAGCACTGCCCCACGAGGAGCTATCTGAGTAGATTGAACCCACTGCGGGACCCGAGCTGCCGTCATTGTGGACAGGCGCCGGAGACAGTAGAGCACCTTCTAGCCGGGTGCCCAACATTAGCGACTGGTGTGACTGGGGTGCTCCCAGCCAACCACGTCGAGAGCCTGTTATACGGGACTGCCCAG